GCTGTGGAGTGCGTGGCCGGATCTCAGCTTCACTGCAAGCTCCGCCTCCCGGGTTTTACCCATTCTCCTGCCTCAGCCTTCCGAGTAGTTGGACTACAGGCGGGCCCGCACCTCGTTGCCCGGCTAGTTTTTTGTATTGTTTTTTAGTAGAGACGGGGTTTCACCGTGTTAGCCAGGGCGGTCCTCGATCTCCTGACCTCGTGATCCGCCCGTCTCGGCCTCCCAAAGTGCTGGGATTACAGGCTGAGCCACTCGCGCCCGGCTTTATTTCATCTTTTAGGATTTTATTCCTTAAAATTTTTTGGGAGGGGAAGGGTTACTCTTTTTTTTTTTTCTTGTTAAAAAAAAAAAAAAAAAAAGAAAGAAAGAAAAGAAAGAAATGCTGCATCACTCAACTCACATTTTAATTGAAAAAAAAAGTCAGTATTAGGTGGAAAATGTGGACATTAATAATTGAGTTGAAAGTGATTAAAAAAAAAGACTTCTGAATGTGCATAAGATTTAAGAATGCCTTAACCAGTCTATTTTGCAAAAAAAAACTTTATATAGTGCATGAGTGATATGTGATCAAAATCTATAAGTAAATCTAAAAAAAAAAATCAATAAGTATAAAATAAAAATTCTAAGTGATGAAAACATGTGTCATAGTTAAAAAAAAAGCCTTTGTTCTTTGTGATACATAAAATAACAATGCTATTACAATTGATGATGCCTTATATTCAGTGAAATACAGCATGTGCATTTAAGGTTTCAGATTTCTAATTACTGCTTTAGTTGAATCCCACAAGTTTTGATATACAGTACTTAATGTTCATTGATCATTAGGCACCAAAAAAAAACCATTACAATTTATTCTTGTATGTGAATTATTTAGAAGCGTGGTTTGAGTTTCCAAGCTTATGGATACTTTTTGGCTGTCTTTTTATTATTGATTTCTAATTGTATTGCATAAAAAAAAAAGAGTGTGGTCTATGTATTGTTGATACTTCTTTTGTGGCTTTGTATATGGGAAAAAAAAACTTTGATTACTGGGGACCAGTCCTCTCGTCCTCACAGCTCTGCTGCTTTCCTGCCACCTCCCCTGGGCTTGGCTCCATCCCAGTTACACCTTAAGCAACCAGTTGGCCCTCACTGTGCTGGGGGCTGCTCTAGGCTCTGGGGCATATTCCAGAGCAGCACTTCCCACACTTGGCTGACCCTAAGAATCACCTGAGGTGCTTCTTAAATATCCTGGCTCCCAGTCTGTAGGTCTGAGTCAGAGCCCTGGAGTTTGCATATTGAACAAGTTGCCCAAGGGGATTCTCATGACTGGGCAAATTCAGGAAGTTCTGTACAGTTGGGAATCTGGAAGTGGAACGGGATAAAATACAGTGATGGAACTAGACTTAAAGAAGGAGATCACTGCCAAACGTGAGCCTAAATGAAGAGCAGGGGTGAGGGTAGGGGCTTATTCAAAATGCAGGTTCCCAGGCCTCACTTGGAGAGATTCTAATTCAATAGGTCTGCGATGGAATTTGGGAATCTGTATTTTAAACAGTCTTCCTAGGTAAAAAAAAAAAAGATAGGCCTCGTGCCATGTCCTGAGAAGTCCCAGAGTGAGAGGATTTTGAAGGGAGGAAATAGCTCAGCTGAACTTTAAGCTTTGTAAAGTCACAGGCAAAGTCCTCTTAAAAAAAAAAGGTTTAGTGATAGATTGGGATTTGATAAGAGTGGGAAAGATATTATTCACTAAAAAAAAAAAATTTGAGAGGAAATGGATAAAAAACTGTCTGAGTAGCAGTCCTGCTGCTAGATGGTGGGAATTTGCATCGTTTATAGTATACAGTCATATCAACAGGTTCTGCATCAGCAAAAAAAAACAACTGCCCATAGTAAATATTCAAAAAGGAAACAACAAGGCTGGGTGTCATGGCTCACACCTGTAATCTCAACACTTTGGGAGGCTGAGGCGGGCGGATTGCTTGAGGCCAGGAGTTCGAGATCCGCCTGGCCAATATGGTGAAACCTTGTCTCTACTAAAAATACAAAAAAAAAAAAAATGTGGTGGCAGGTGCCTGTAATACCAGCTACTTGTGAGGCTGAGGCATGAGAAAAAAAAAAATCTGGAGGTGGAGGTTGCAGTGAGCTGAGATTGTACCACTGCACTCCAGAAAAAAAAACAGAGTGAGACTCAGTCTCAAAAAAAAAAAAAAAAAAGAAAAGAAAAGAAGAAAAAAAAAGTATAACAACAAAAATAATACAAATAAATATATAACAACTATTTACATAGCAAAAAAAAAGTATTAGGTATTACAAGTAATCTAGAGATGATTTATAGTACAACATACAGGAGGATGTGCATATGTTATATTCAAATACTACACTGTTTCAGATAAAGGATTTGAGCATCTTTGCATTTTTGTGTTGCGGGGGTCCTGGAACCAATCCCCTGTCAATACTAAAAGATGACTCTATATGTGTGAAGCATGATACTGTGTAGGTGGAATAGTAGTCAGTCTAAAAATGTCCTCAAGAATCAGAGAAGTTTGACTCTTATTTCTTACAATTTTCTCATTACTAGAGGTTACATTAAAAAAAAATGAGCTTCAGTGCTCTATGAAATGATGCATAAAGAAATATGCATAATCTTTAAAAAAAAATTTTTATTTTTGTGGCTGAATGAGGTACATAACTGTAGGAAATGATAACAGAAAAAAAAAACTTTCATGAAGTATTAGTAGTATAGGCAGAGTGAAGATAATGGGTACTCGAAAAAAAAAGACACTCACTGGTTTTCAGGACTCCCGTACTTGTAACTGTGGGTGACTGGGGAGTTATAATTCTTTTTCATTTATTCACTCAAACATTTATTGAGCACCTGCTTTGTGCCAGGCACTGTTATGGATGCTAACAAGATGAATAAGAACTGTGAGGGGAACCCACAGAAATTTTTGAGGGCGTTCTTTGGGTTGTGATCACCATTATATTCATCAGTTTTTCTATGAACAAATAAAAAAAAAAATTATATTGAGATGCCTAATACAATGTACAGTGCTATACAGCTCACTTCAAAAAAAAAATCTTCCACTTAGTTCGCAGAATGTGAACTGTGAGTAGGGGCAAGCAGTCTAGTACAGGCGTTAGGATCTCAGGCTTTAGTGTCACAGAGCTGTAATCAAATATGAGCCTAGAAAAAAAAATTTTTCTGAGACAGAGTCTCTGTTGCCCAGGCTGGAATGCAGTGATGTGATAAAAAAAAACTGCAACCTCTGCTTCCTGGGTTCAAGCAATCCTCCCACCTCAGCCTCCCAAAAAAAAAAGATTACAAGAGTGCACCACCATGCCCAGCTAGTTTTTGTATTTTTGTAGAGAAAAAAAAAACCATTTTGACCAGGCTGGTCTCGAACTCTTGATCTCAAGTGATCCACCCACTTTGGCCTCACAAAGTGCTGAGATTACAGGCATGAGCCACCGTGCCCAGCCTAGATGTTTACTTTTTATGTGATCATAGGCAAGTTTAACCTTTTCAGCCTCAGTTTTCTCAACCATAAAAAAAAAAAAATAAGGAATACCTATGCCTGTTGATTGTTATAGGGATTAAATGGGATAACAAAAAAAAAGTGTTGACATAATCCTCAGTGCAAGGTAAATGCTCAGTAAATGTTAGCTGTTTTAAAAATTTATTTATAATCTAGGAAACAAAATAGGGCAGAATGTATTTTCAATAATATAAAAAAAAAGTGATATCTCTGTGTTGCAGGTGCTAACTGCAGTGATTTTCTGGAATCTAAGGGATGTTTTGCCAAGACTGCATCCTCTGGCAAAAGTGTCAGTTCCTCATCTTCTGTGGAAACAGGCCCAAGTGTCCGTGAGCCTCCAGGCCTCCCCAGAGTGTCTGCTTACCTAGAGTAAGTAAGGGTCTGGTGTAGAGCTGTCACTGTTTGGGGGATATTCTGACCAAGAAGCCAACAGTCTGAGAGGTAGCATGGTATGCTTGGCAAGAGCATGGATTCTGGAGCTAGACTGTGTGGGTTCAAATCCCGGTTCTGCCACTTAGTATCCGTGTGAATCTGAGCAAATTACTTCACCTCAAAAAAAAACAGTGTTCTTGTCTGTAAAATGCTGATGATAGTTTATAGGATTGCTGTGAGAAAAAAAAAAGTTAATACCTGGAAAGAGCTTAGAAGACTTCCTGGCACACAGCAAGTTCTAAAAAAAAACTTGCTATTATGAAGTTCAAAAATAAGTGAAACTGTGTATTTTTGGGATATGTACATACATACATGGGTGGTAAAACTTAAAGAAAAGCAAATAAATGATTATCGTAAGAGAAAAAAAAAGGATAGTGGTTACTTTTCCTGGAAAGGGACACACACAGATGGTTTCTGGGGAAAAAAAAAGAGAAGGACTGGCAACGTTTTGTTTCTTTTGTTTGGGTAGAGACAGGGGTCTCGCTCTGCCACCTGGGCTGGAGTAGAGTGGTGTTATCTTGGCTTACTTTAACCTCAAACAAAAAAAAACAAGCGATCTTCTCTTCTTGGCCTCTCAAAGTGCTGGGATTGCAGGTGTGAGTCACTGTGCCAGGCTAACGTTTTGTTTCTTGACCAGGATGTTGGCTTTGTATTTAGTTGAAAAAAAAACTTTATGCTTTATGTACTTTCCCTGTTTATATTTCTTTTCCAATAAAAGGTAAAAAAAAATTTTCTAATAATTTTTGTTACAATGAAAGTAATTTAAGCTTATTGTAGAAAATTTGAACAGGTGAAGACAGTATTAAAAATAAAAGTCATGGCCAGGCGCGGTGGCTCGCACCTGTAATCCCAGCACTTTGGGAGGCCAAGGCGGGTGGATCACGAGGTCAGGACATCGAGACCATCCTGGCTAACATGGTGAAACCCTGTCTCTACTAAAAATACAAAAAATTAGCCAGAAAAAAAAAAAGGTGCCTGTAGTCCCAGCTACTCCGGAGGCTGAGGCAGTGAGAATGGTGTGAACCTGGGAGGTGGAGCTTGCAGTGAGCCGAGATCGTGCCACTGCACTCCAGCCTGGGCGACAGAGTGAGACTCCGTCTCAAAAAAAAAAAAAAGAAAAAAAAAGTCACATGGCCAGGCATGGTGGCTCACACCTAATAAACTATGCCCAGCTAATTTTTAATTTTTTTTTTTGTACAGAAAGAAAAAACTATTATAGTTTCATACAGAGTAGTTTCACTGTCCTCAAAAATCCTGTGTGTTCCATCTATTCATCCCTTCCCACCCCTCCCACCCCCTGGCAACCACAGATATTTTTACTGTCTCCATAGTTTTTTCGTTTCCAGAATGACATATAGTTGGAATCGTATAGTATATACCCTTTTCAGATTGGTTTCTCTCAATAATATGCATTTAAGTTTCCTTCATGTCATTTCACCCCTTAATAGCTCATTTTTTCAATGCTGAATAATATTCCATTGTCTGGATGTACCATAGTTTATTTATTCATTCACTTACTGAAGGACATCTTATAAAGGCAGCTTTTTCACTGAGCAATATGCGGAGATAATTTTCTCATACCTGTGAGTGTTTTTCAAGAACACAGTTTTCAATGACTACAGTGCTGGAATGTCAGATGAGTAGACCACAATCTAACCAGTGACCTATAGTTTTAAAGAGTTGCTATTGTAAATAGTGCTGTAATGCATATTCCTCTACATTCGGCTTTTGCCCATCTCCGGTTATATTATAAAAGTAAATTCCTAGAAGTGGATTTATTCAGTCAAAGTTAAGGGAAGTTGCTCAAGTGATTCTTTATATAACAAAATCTGCTCCAAGTGGACTTGCTGCCCCCAGCACTAGACATGGAAGAGACTGGCATAATCCTTAAGCTCTGCCTCTTTCGGTCCTCTGCAACAGATGTATACCACTAGCAGTGGCAGTGGGTCCATGTATTGGGAGGGAAAGAAAGCCCAGACTGTGAAGTTCACATCCTGTAGGATGGGGAACTGGGTGATTGCTGCCAGTTCTGCATTCCTAATTCCCACCTAAATAAGTCCCCTTTATCGCTCATGATACCTGGGTTATGGAGGACCTAACTCAGTCAAAGCGTGTGTAGCCAAATCTAAAGCTCCAGTCTAGACATAGCCTCAGGCTTTAGATTGATAAATTGAACTGCTTTCTAGATATCTCCACCTGATGTCCCACAGGCCTCCAAACTCAACGTGCCTTGACTGAACTTCTCATCACCCATCCTCACAAACCAAATCCTTCTGTGTTCCTTGTCTCAGTTGATAATCTCGGTATTCATACAGCCCCAAAGGTATAGATTGACAGGTCATACTTGTCTCCTCCAGCTCATCCAACTGGGGATCAAGCCCTGAAACACCATATAAGTCCATCTCTTCTACTCCATCTGTATTACCGTGGTCCCACTCAAGGCCCTGATCATCTCTCACCTGGACCACTGTAATACCTTCTTGATTAGTTATTTATTGGTGCACAACAAGTCACCCTAACTTAGTGACTTAAAACAACAAACATTTATTATCTCACATTTTCTACAGGTCAGGAATCTGAGTATAACCTAGGTGGGTGCCTCTGGCTCGAGGTGTCTCTCACAAGATTGCAGTCAAGGTGTTGGCCAGAGCTGTGGACTTATCTGAAGGCTCAACTGCGGGGGGTGTGGATCCATTTCCAAGCTCACTCATATGGTTGGTGGCAGGATTCACTTCCTCACAGGCTGCTGGGGCTGATAGTTCAGTTCTCTACTGGCTGTTGCCCACAGGCTTCCCTCAGTTCCTTGTCTCTACAGAGGGCAACTCACAACATAACAGCTGTCTCTCCTCACGAGCAAGCAGGAGTGCACACAAGAAAAAGCCACAGTCTCTTTGTAACCTAACCTGGGAAGTGACATCCCATAACATTTACTATTTTCTCTTTGTTGAAAGTGAGTCAGTAGGTCTAGCCTATACTCAAAGGGAGAAGATTACAGGAGGGAATAAATGCCAAGAGGCAGAGATCATTGGCAGCCATGTCAGAGGCTGCCTGCTACACTCTCCTAAATGGACTCCCTGACTTAAGTTTTATATTCTCAAAGTTCATTCCTTTTATAGCTTCTAGAGTTTTCTAACCACATGTGACCATGTCATGGTCTTGCTTACTATTATTTAATGATATCCCATTAAAGCTAGATAAAAAAGAGTCCCCCCTCATATGAACTGCAAATTCTCAAGATCTGTCTCCTTCTCTTCTCCAGTTTTATCTCCAATACTCCTGCCACAACCACATCAAATGTCGTAATTTCCCTGATGTTTCTTCCTTCTATGCTTTTGCTCACATTGCTTCCTTTGCTTGAAGTGGCTTTCTCCAATGGCTTGCTGTGTGCACATATTGTAGAAGCTGCTCGGCTTCCACTGACTTTCCAGTGGCGTCATCTATGCTATTCTCCTTTTTCTGGGGAATTGATTTTCACTCCTTCCTTACCAAGTTTTTTTTTTTTTTTTAAGATGGAATTTCACTCTCCTGTTGTCCCGGTCGGAGTGCAATGGCACCATCTCAGCTCAATGGAAACTTGGCCTCCTGGGTTCAAGTGATTCTCCCTCCTCAGCCTCCTGAATAGCTGGGATTACAGGTGCATGTCACCACACCTGGCTAATTTTGTATTTTCAGTAGAGTCGGGGTTTCACTATGTTGGCCAGGCTGGTCTCGAACCCCTGACCTCAGGTGATCCACCCACCTCGGCCTCCCGAAGTGTTGGGATTACAGGTGTGAGCCACCATGCCTGGCCCTTCCCTACCCAGTTTTTAAATATTTTAACACAAGGTCTTGCTATGTTTCCCTGGCTGGTCTCAAACTCCTGCCTACCCAGTTTTAATGAGTATTCTGAATAGGAGCTACCATCATCTTACTTGTCTCCACTTCCTGATTGTGATTGATTTAAGGGAGAACGTGTGATCTAAGCTGAGCCAGTGAGTCCTTCCCTGAAATTTTTCACATAGGAGATAGGGGTAAAAATTGGTTGGAAGACATGAGAATTTGAATCTGGGCTGTCAGTGGCCTTTTTGCTCTTGTGAAGAAGCTCATCTGCAATTGGCAAAAATGAAGCCAAGGTGTCAGGATAAGCAAAAGAGAGTGACAGTTCTGAGACATTGAACCCCAATTCCAGTTGTCCTCAGCTGTACTCTCGTGATGGAAACTAACACACCTCCAAAATTGCTTATCTTCTGAATCAGGGGTGGGGGCACTGAGTTATTGGTCCTACCTACATCACAGGATTGTTAGCAGGGAGCAGACAAGACGAGCAATATGAAGTTGCTTTGATGCCATTTAAATATGAGTGATGCATTGTTATGAAAAAAGATCCTTTGACTTGATAACAGATCATTGTACCTGAAAACACTGTCCAAGGCCAGGTCTCAGACACAAAGCCATTTAAACCAGAAGTGATTGCATTTTCTGCTGACACCTATAAAAGTTTATTGTGGGTCTTTATAAACTGCTAGGAAGTTCAGCGCTAAACATAATGCTCTATTATTGCAATCAGTTCAGTCTAGGTTTGTTTTTGATTATTTATTCATCTTCTCTATATACTTATTGATTTTTTATTTACATTTAATGGTTTTATTAAACATGCCTTTTTGGTAACAGATTTATTTAAACATAATTCACATACCATAAAAGTCACCCACTTAAAGTGTGTACACAACTTGATGGCTTTTAATGTATTCGTAAAGTTGTGCAACTATCACCACAATCAATTTTAGAACATTCTCATCACCACAAAAAGAAATCCATACCCTTTAGCAATCATTGCCCCGCACCCCCATCTTTCTGTCCCTCTAGTCTGAGACAACCATTAATCTACTTTTTGTCTCTATAGATTTGCCTGTTTCGGACATGTAATATTAATGGAATTATCAATATGTGGTCTTTGGTGTCTGGCTTCTTTCACTTAGCATAATGCTTTCAAGGTGCATACATGTTGTAATATATATCATTCCTTTCTAAAAATTGTGGTAAAATATATATGGCACAACAGTTGCCATTTTATCCATTAAAAAAACGTTTTTAAAGAGATGGGATTTCACTCTGTAGCCCAGGCTGGAGTGCAGTGGCATAGTCACTGCTCACGGCAGCCTCCACTTCCTGGGCTCAAGTGATCCTCCCTCCTCAGCCTCCCAAGTAGCTAGAACTACAGGTGTGCACCACCACACCTGGCTAATTAAAATGTTTTTTGTAGAGATGAGGTCTCACTATTTTGCCCAGGCTGGTCTCAAACACCTGGGCTTAAGTGATCCTCCTACCTTGGCCTCCCGAAGTACTGCCTGCCTGATTTTATCCATTTTAAGTGTACAATTCAATGGCATTAATTACACTCATAGTGTTGTGTAACCATCACCATTGTCTATTTTCAGACATTTTCATCACTCCAAATGGAAACTCTATGACCATGTAGCAATAACTTGCCATTCTCCCCTCTCCTCAGCCCCTGGTAACCTGTAATCTACTTTCTATGAAATTACCTATTCTAGATATTTCATATAAGTGGAATCACATAGTATTTGTCCTTTTGTGTCTGGCTTATTTTACTTAGCATAACATTTTCAAGGCTCACCATGTTTTAGCATGCATCACTACTTCATTCCTTTATTTTTTTCTTATGTTTTTGAGACAGGATCTCACTTTGTTGCCCAGGCTGGAGTGCAGTGGCGAGATCTCTGCAGCCTCCCCTTTCTGGGTTTAAGCAATTCTCCTGCCTCAGTCTCCTGAGTAGCTGGGATTATAGGCATACACTACCATGCCTGGCTAATTTTTGTATTTTTAGTAGTGAGGGGGTTTCTCCATGTTGCCCAGGCTGGTCTCGAACTCCTGAGCTCAAGTGATCCATATGCCTCAGCGTTCCAAAGTGTTAGGATTACAGGCAGAAGCCACCATGCCTAGTCACTTCATTAATTTTTAAGGCTGAATAATATTCAATTGTACGTATTATGTACCACATTTTGCTTATCCATTCTTCTCTTTATGAACACTTGGCTTGTTTTCATTTTGGCTATTATAAATAATGCGGCAAAGAACATTCACATGCAAGTATCTGTTTGAATCTCTGTTTTCAGTTCTTTTAGGTGTATACCTAGAAAGAGAATTGCTGAGTCTTGTGGTAATTCTATGTTCAACTTTTTGAGGAATCACCAAATTATTTTTAAACACTTTAAAAAAATCAGTAGAGATGGGATCTCACTATGTTGTTCAGTCTGGTCTCAAACTCCTGGCCTCAAGTGATCCACCTGCCTCAGCCTCCCAAGGTTTTGGGATTACAGGCGTGAGCCACTGAATGCCCATCTTTTCAATAAGTTTTAGTCCCCTTAAATTGTGAATACATAAATGATATGCTCAAGGGCTTTTTATAGATGAGTAGTCCCAGTTCTCACAAGCGAGGGCAATTCTAGGGTAAACTATGTGAGATCAGGCTGTAACTACCAGTTTAAACACGTGGAAGAATCCTTCTGCTTTCTTTCCAGCACCACTGCTGACTTGGATCAGAAACCCTCCTCCTCACATTCTGGTCACTCCTCGGAAATGTCATTGCCTCAAGTCCAAAAGGATAAGTATCCTGAGGAATTCAGCCTGCTTAAGTTGCAGACAAGTAAGTCACAGACCCTCCTCCACATGCCTCTGTGCCCCAGGTCTTTTCAGAAGTCTACCATACTGTTGACCACCATCACTGAAGGCCCACAACTGTCAAGCATTTGACATACTTTATCTCAAAATTCACAACACCTCTGCCAGGAAGCTATTATATGTTTTTCAAAAATACAATGCCTTTATATAAAACCCATTAAAATACTGCAGAAAGACATTAAAATAATATAGAAGTATATAGAGTATAAAAACCCTTCCCCAATGTTTTCCAACAATATCCCTATTCTGCCTCATAGCCGTGAAGAGTTGATATATATTTTTCCTGTATTTTGAAATGTATATGTGTGTGTGTATATACACACACATGTACATATATAGATGTAAAATAAATGGGTTAGTATACAAACTGGTATAAATAGATCATGGACCTCTTTCTGTGCCAATACATACAGATCTATGTGGCTAATATAGACATACCCATTTTACAGAGGAGGAAACTGAGGCTTTGAGACATTCAGTCATCCATAAAGCCACATGGCCAGGAAGTAGAGCGATGGGATCAGAACCCAAACTTGCTTGCCTCAAATCCTATGCTCTTCTTGGCTATCCCAAAGCCCACATTTCTCAAGCATCCCTAGAACTGCTAGGGGATCTTTTATTGTTTAAAGTCACTGTTAGCAATCTTACAGGAAAAGTATCAGATGATAAAACAAAGGCATTGCAAGGTCCAGAAACTAGCCTGAGGTCTCACGGAAGCTTTTCTCATTTGAAATTATCACAGGTACATTCCCCAGTGTCACCGTAGCGCATGTGCGTGCTATTGTTGCAGCCAATACCATGTTTCATCCACTTGAGGTGCCATGTGGATGGCACTGGCCTAACCATTTGCTGGTTGATGGCATTCTATTTTTCCTACACAGTTATGGAAGATTGTATCATAGGTACTTCGAAGACTGTATCTGAGCTTCCCAACCAATACTTAACTGCCAAACATAAAGTTGGCTTTATTTTTGAAGGAGAGGATGAAGAGGGCAAACAAGCAAACAAAAACAAAGAAGGCCTCTTAGGTAGCTCTCCCCCGACTTCCCTTCCTTTTGTGTCTAGTCCCACAGAGTTTCACACTGTCTCTGATGTAGAACCAAGGGATTATGCACATTAATTAAAGTTGTATAGCCAGATAGTGCCTGCGGAGTTTTCACCGCTTTTTGTCATCCAGTTGCATTATGAGGCTGGGAGCAGCACTAATGGAAGGCTTTCTGGTGTCTTGCAGAAGATGGGCATCGTCCTGAGTGGACGTTTTACCCGAGGTTTAGCAGCAACATCCACACTTACCATGTCGGAAAGCAGTGCTTCTTTAATGGAGTCTTCCTCGGCAACAAGAGGTCTCTATCAGAGAGGACGGTGGACAAGTGCTTTGGGAAAAAGAAATACGGTGATGTTTCTTTCTGGGTCTTGACTGTGCAGTCCCTGAAAAACTCTCAAGTTTAGTGATTCTGTAGGCCCTGCGTTCTGTAGCTGGGGGCAGCCCTGTAGAGTCACCGTGTTCCCCTAGTGCAGCCAGGAAGACAGAAAAGTGAAGGGGACAGTTGGCAGGCTGCACGTTTTGGCAAAGAACTCACAACAGATGCTGATCCACATTTTCTTTTTTCTCTGAATTTCATAAAATGCAAATGTGACATTTAAGTCATCAGATAAGTTCTCTCAGATCCTTATTAATAGAAACCTCCATTGAAGTCTGAAGAAAAGAATTTATGTTCCAATTAGATGCTGCCTGGCACACACATTTAAATTGTACTTTATATTCTCCACAAGGAAAACATCCCATAACCCTCAGCCTGAAGTGCATGTTTTTATTTTATTGCTGATTTAATTAAAAGCTATTGAAATAAATATATATCTACCTGTGTATCTGTATCTCTTTGGTTTGTAGCTCAGTGAGTTCTTTGCCCCAACCTACTCATAATAGACTTACTGAAAGACCCTCAAAAGTTGCTGAGTACCAACGGACCATTTATGACACATTTTTCTATATAAATCCCTGTGTAGGAGGCAACCATTGCTCCCGAAATAAATAGGATTGCTGTAGCAGGAATACAAAGAGAAAGAAGTAGACTGTTCTCAGTTTTGAGTTTTAAAATAGACTTTTAAACTCACAGCAGAGACAAATAGTTTTGAGAATTGAGGCTTTTATTTATTTGGGTAGAAAAATACATGGAAAGCCATACTAAATGAGCTGGGAGAGTGGTCATTGATAAGGGAATCTGTGAGGAGTCCTGCACCTTGCACTTTTTTTTTTTTTTTTAAGACAAAGTCTTGTTCTGTGGCCCAGGCTGGAGTGCAGTGCCACCATCTTGGCTCACTGCGGCTCTGAACGCCAGCCCCCTAGCCCCAGGCTCAAGCAATCCTCCAACCTCAGCCTCCAAGTTGCTGGGACTACAGGCATGTGCCACCATGCCTGGCTGATTTTTCTATTTTTAGTAGAGACAGGGTTTCTCCATGCTGCCCAGGCCAGTCTCAAACTCCTGGGCTCCAGTGATCAGCCAGCCTTGGCCTCTCAAAGTGCTGGTATTACAGGTGTGAGCCACTGCAGCCAGCCTACCCTGCACTCTTGAGCTGCAAGTACCTATCACAAGTAAATGGGATTATCATAATGACCCAAATCTTAATCTTCACTTATCACTGCCCTCCTGGCTCAAAAGTAAGCCACCTTATCCTGACCGACCGACCTTCCTTCCTTCCTTCCTTCCTTCCTTCCTTCCTTCCTTCCTTCCTTCCTTTTTCCTTTCCTCCCTCCCTCTCTCCATCCCTTCATTTCTTCTTTCCCTTCTTCCTTTAGGGTTTTATAAATACTGAGTAAATGCAATGATATATTTATGAAATATTTGTTGACTATATAGAATGAAATATAAGATATACTTATATTATACTTGTGTTCTTTTACTCCATTTAAGACGTAAAATATTAACTTTATATTTGAAGCCTCCAATATTCTCTTCCCTGAATATTCCATCTTTTCCTCCCCCAACTCCAGTGGTAATCCATATTTTTTTAAAGAAAAACTTATCAGGTAAATTTTCAAACAATAGCATAATGAAACCCGATGTACTCATCCATTTAGCTTCAATAATGATCAATACCTGGCTAACTTGTTTCATCATTACCCCTCCTCCCAGGGATTATTTTAAAGCAAATTTCAGACATCATATTATTTCATCTCTAAATATATCATATGTGTCTCTGAAAAATAAGGATTATTTTATTAACATAACCACAATTCCATGTCCTAATATCATATTTTTAAAAATCAACAATAATTCCTTAATATATTCAGTGTCCAAATATCCTATTATTTCATAAATGCCATAATTTAAAAATATTTAGCTTGTTTGGATCAGGATCCAAGTAAGGCCCACAGATTGAAATTGGTTGGTATGTCTCTTAAGTTTCTTTCAATATATAGGTCCTCCCTCCTTTTTTCTTGCAATATGTTTGGTGAAGAAACTAGGCCTTGTCCTGTAGTGTTGACCACGATCAGGACTTTGCTGATTACATCACTTGGTATCATTTAACAGGTTCCTCTTTCCTGTGTACTTCCTGTGAAGTGGTAGTTGGATCTACAGGCTTGATTCGTTTTAGTATGATTACTTCTTAGGTGATGTACAGTGACTTCTTTAAACATCAAATGCAATGGTCTTTTTCCATTTCTTCTCTTCCTTGATCTCACTGCAGCACTCGATACTGTCAAGCTTGACACTGGACACGTCTTCCTTTGTGAAATTCTCTCCCCACTCTTTCTTTCCCTTCCCTCTTTCCTTCCTTCTATTCCTTCCCTTCCTCTTCCTTCTTCCTTCCTTCCTTCACCTTCCTCCTCTCCTCTCCCTCTCCGTTCCTCTCTCTTTCTTTCTTTCTTTCTTTTTCCTTTCTTTCTTTCTTTCTCTTTTTTGACACAGAGTCTCACTGTGTCACCCAGGCTAGAGTGCACTAGCATGACCTCGGCTCACTGCAACCTCTGCCCCCTGGGTTCAAGCAATTCTCATGTCTCAGCCTCCTGGAGTAGCTGTGATTACAGGCATGTGCAACCACAGCCAGCTAATTTTTGTATTTCACTAGAGATGGGGTTTCACCATGTTGGCCAGACTGGTCTCAAACTCCTGACCTCAAACACCTGCCTTGGCCTCCCAAAGTGCTGGGATTACAGGTGTGAGCCACCACTCCCGGCTGCCACTCATTATTTCTTGGATGAGATGAAGAGGCAGGCTTAGGGACTGCCAACCAGCTGCCATTTTAAACTGGAATGCAACTCATTATTATATAAAAAAATCAATCAAAATATCTTTAAATAATGGTTGAATGTGATCCATCAGCCATAACCAGGATATTGGCAGAGTTCCCTAAAGGCCTAGTTGTTGCCATAGAACAAAATGCCATCTATGATTGTAGGTGGTAGGGAAATAGGTCTGAAAATATAATTTTCTATTGTGTAGCTCTTCCTACAGTATCGCATATTGTATTAGTCAGAATAGGATAGATTCTGCCGCAGTAACAATCCCTGAAATTTCAGCAGCTTAAGCACTAAAGTTTGCTCCTTTCTCTTATAAAGTCCACTGTGGATCCAGCAGCTCTCCAGGGCAGTTCCTTTCCAAGCATCCTGTCTGCTTTTATCTGTGACCTTTCCATCTCAACCTGTGGCTTCTAAGATTGCCATAGAAGGGGAAAGAGAAAATGCTGGAAGGTTTTTCACTTCAGCTCCTTAAATGCTTCTTTTTAAAGGTGGTACATATCCTCTCTGCTCATAATCTATCAGTCAGAACATGGCTCTACTTAAGTGCATTGGGGCACTGACATGTGGGGCAGACTAAGTTATTTGGTGAACAGTTCACTCCCTCATATGGTTATTTGTCTCTAAATGTATGTGTCCCATTTTCTACCTCCTGAATGTCTTTACATCCAGGAAATTGGATGGTCTGTATAAAAACAAACAAGCATTAGAACTGATCGTGCGGTGTTATGGGTCCATCAGCTATTGATGCATAGTGGCCAGCACTTTGGGCTGACACCTGTCTTGGTGAGCTATCCAGAAATTATACCAAGGCCCCATATGGTACCTAATGGCTTAAACAAATGTGTTATCTCAGAAGTGTTGCTTGGGAGATTTTCCCCCTAAAAGTAACACCTTATGCAGATACCACACCATTGGCTCTTTTTCTTCCTCCTGATGTTATCTTGTGATATCTTTTATGATAGTCTATTTTTTTTTTTTTTTTTTTTTTTTGTGAGACAGAGTTTCATTCTTGTTGTCCAGGCTGGAGTGCAATGGTGCAATCTCGGCTCACTGCAACCTCTGCCTCCCAGGTTCAAGTGATTCTCCTGCCTCAGCCTCCTGAGTGGCTGCGATTACAGGCATGTGCCACCGTGCCCAGTTAATTTTGTATTTTTAGTGGAGATGGGGTTTCACCATGTTGATCAGGCTGGTCTCAAACTCCTGACGTCAGGTGATCCACCCACCTCGGCCCACCCAAAGTGCTGGGATTACAAGCGTGAGCCACTGCGCCTGGACACCATAGTCTATTTCTAGGTGTTCTCCTTAGACCACCTATATCATATTCAACTTGTGAGTTTATTAAAAATGCTGGTTCTGGGAGCTACTAGAGATCTTCTGAAACAGAATTTCTTGGGTTAAAGATTGCATTTTAAACAAGTTTCCTAGGTGATTTTCAGGTGTCCTAAAATTTTGGAACCACTCTTCTGTAGTATATGGTATTTACTGCCTTGTAGTGTTACCTTCGTCTTTACGAATGTCTCCCCATCTAGATAAGATTCCCTGGGGAGAAGTATATACCTTAGCTATATAGTAATCATACCTTCCAGATTAAAAAATAATTGGGATGAGGGGTATTAGTCCAGTTGTGATTTCAAATAATAATAATTGCTACTATTTCTTGAGTGCTTGTTATGTGCTCATATCATTATTATTTAGTATTCATGACAACTCTGCAAAGTAGCCATTTGAAATAAACAGTTTATACATGAGGTTACAAAGGCTTAGGAAGGTTAAATAAATAGCTCAAGGGCACAGAACCAGAAATTACAGGAGTGAGTATGAACTCAGGTGCGACTGACTCCAAAGTCCAAATCCTTCCCACCACCTCTTGTTAACACCTGACTCTTACTTGTCAGTGCCCTGGTTTGGGATTCAAAAGGTTTTGGATTTACTGTATATTTAATTAACTAATTAATTAAAAATTTGAGACAGAGTCTCATTCTGTTTCCCAGGCTGGAGGCATGTGGCATGATCTTGGCTTACTGCAACCTCCGTTTCCCAGGTTTAAGCGATTCTCCTGCCTCAGCCTCCCGAGTAACTGAGATTACAGGCGTGTGCCACCACACCCAGCTAATGTTTGTATTTTTAGTAGAGACAGAGTTTCACTGTGTTGGTCAGGCTGGTCTAGAACTCCTGGCCTCAAGGGGATTCAGCATATATTTTAAACTTCCACTCTCTCTGCTTTGAATCCTCAGCATCTCATACCCAGCAGGCACTCGATGCATGGGTGTAGCTGCGTGGGTGTGTTTCACTACACAGGAGAGCTAATCAAAAGTGTAATACAGTCAGTTATTGAAAAGGTTTTTGAAAGAGAAAGACAAAAAATTAAATACTACGCTAACCCAAGAACTCCCACCTGTCACCCTGATGGCTTTTCCGAGTTAGCTAGAAGAATCTGGGGGTGTGGCAAAGATGCAGGTCATGCTTCCAGCCTCGTGTCCCTGCTTCCGAGCCCAAGGGTGGTGAGTCTCGTAGTCCAGGCTTGTTCTCTTAGGAGATGTATCTGGTGTCAAGTGTATGGGTTGATTTATTTATTTTATTTTTAATTTTAAGTTTTTTATAGGCCATTTTAAGGACTTTAGGTATGTGGGTTTAAATGATCACCCTGCACTAGGCAGATGCCTTCCACTCCCATAATTAGTTTCTTGTTCCCGGGGCTTTAGCAGGGGCTGAGCTGGGTGTACAAGCCTCTGCCGAGTAATCTTGCTCTTCTCCAGGAAGCCACGTCCCACTGCTGCATGGCCCCAGTCCTTGAGGCAGAAGGAGCAAGACATCCTTAGTTGGTTTCCTTCCCAGACCCAGTCAGAGAGGCAGCGCCCCAGGGACATTTGTTTCTTGGGCTTCCTAAGACTCAGGGATTCAAAGTGTACTAATGCTCAGGAATCAAGAGATTATTAGGTCACAGATTTTTGGATCATTGCAAAGAGACCTCTGATTCACCTTATATTTTAAACCAAAGCACTCCATCTGAGTCTAACAATTCTTTTCCAGGGTGAGGTAGTTATAACAACACTTTATGGAAAATGTCCCAAACATAGGCTCATCTCCTTAAGGCAAGATAATCACAAACAGAACTTTGAGAAACTTCTATGTAATTTATAATAAATTACTAAAATATCCTATTTCCATTGTCATGCCAATACTTACAGCAAATCTGTGGATCATCTTCAGCCCTTGTATGATTTTGTTTTCAAACCTTCTCCACAGATATTGATCCCAGGAATGGAATCCCAAAGTTAACTCCAGGGGATAATCCATATATGTACCCAGAACAGAGTAAAGGCTTCCACAAAGCAGGATCAACGCTCCCACCAGTGAATTTTTCAGTGTAAGTGTATGTTAATACTAGCATTATATAGTTAACTTTAAAGGAATTGTGTCTCTCTACTACATAGAAATTATATTTTAAAAGGGATAGATGTCAACAAGATGTGATTGGATGAAAATTCCTTGAAAAGCTCATCTTTAGTTAATTAGTGTCTGCACAGATGCATGTGTATAATTAAAATTGCACACAGGACTTGGACTACAAAAAAGCGGTTGTTAATTTTGTTCCTATCTCTATTAGCACAGATTTGAAAGCTTTTAAATGTTCATACTGAATCAGATTGTTGGCCATAGTGACTACTATGTGGGTGGACTTAAACTTGGAAATAAACTTAGACCAAAGTGATGGAGAAAAATGGGAGGATCATTACATTAAAAGAAAAATAGTTGGTGTATTACTTTTTTTTTTTTTTTTTTTTTGAGAAGGAATCTCGCTCTGTCGCCCTGGCTGGAGTACAGTGGCGTGATTTCTGCTCACTGCAAGCTCCGCCTCCCAGGTTCACGCCATTCTCCTGCCTCAGTCTCCCAAGTAGCTGGGACTACAGGTGCCTGCCACCATGCCCGGGTAATTTTTTGTATTTTTAGTAGAGACAGGGTTTCACCATGTTAGCCAGGATGTTCTCAATCTCCTGACCTTGTAACACACCTGCCTCGGCCTCCCAAAGTGCTGGGTAGTTGGTGTATTACATTTAAAACATTGTTTTAAAAAATTAACCATGTGAAATGTAATGATGCTGACTAAAAATGATCACAACTAAAATCTGTGGGCTGGGGGCGGTGGCTCATGCCTATAACCCCAGCTCTTTGAGAGACCAAGGGGGGCGGATCACCTGAGGTCAGGAGTTCCATACCAGCCTGGCCAACATGGTAAAACCCCGTGTCTACTAAAAATACAAAAATTAGCTGGGCACAGTGGCAGATGCCTGTAATCTCAGCTACTCAGGAGGCTGAGGCAGGAGAATTATTTGAACCTGGGAGATGGAGGTTGCAGTGAGCCGAGATTGCAGCACCACACTCTAGCCTGGGCGACAGAGCGAGTGAGACTCCATCTCAAAATAAACAAAATAAAATAAAATAAAATCTGTGGGCCAGGCACAGTGGCTCATGCCTGTAATCCTAGCACTTTGAGAGGCTGAGGCTGGAGGGTTGCTTTAGCTCAGGCGTTCCAGACCTACCTGGGCAACATGAAAAAACCCCTTCTCTACAAAAATACAAAAAATTAGCTGGGCATGGTGGTGTATGCCTATAATCCCAGCTATTTGGGAGGCTGAGGTGGGAGGATCACCTGAGCCTGGAAGGTTGAGGCTGCAGTGAGCTGAGATTGTGCCACTGCACTCCAGCCTTGGGGACAGAGTGAGACCCTGTCTCAAAACATAAATAAAATAAAATAAAATAAAATAAAATTTGTGGTTCTTACAGTTTTGAAGTCCATACTTGAAAATTAAAATCGGAAAACAGGACATTCTATTGAATGCAATGATGTATTGATCGCTTTGCTGTAGATGGCATACCAGTTTTATGATTGCCTTTTCTGTTTTTCAGAACACCTTATGAAAAGAAATTTGATACATTTATTCCACTTGAGCCTCTTCCACAAATTCCCAAGTGAGTTCTCTTACCATGTTTTGTGCTAGCCCATCTTTATGAAATATCAATTATTTTATTATTTCCTCCTGCGGAGGAGTGGGTAGATAACCAGGACACAGGGCCCTTTTGAACCCCAGCAGGAGGGTGGGGCAGTTTGTAAGGAAGGCGTTTGGATAGACACTCTGTAGAGTCTGCAGTTGGGATGGTCACATATTCAACAGACGTAACTGACAAACTACCAGATGCCATGTGTTGTGCTAGCCATGCACGATAGGAGAGTTCACATGGAACAAAAAGACAGGGTTCCTGATTCCTAGAACATGAGTATTTTGGGAAAGAAAGACACATACTTAAATGATTGCAACTGGGGAGAATGGTTAGAGTTTCAAGAGGCAGAAATAAAGCTAACAGAGCACTTCTGTGTTTGAGGGACATATCATTCCTTTAATTTCATACTTTTGCTTCACTCCATTCTGAACCTCATGTATTTACCTAAGCTGGTTTCTGACCGATAAAGATATATTTTCTTTTCTTTCTTCCTTTTTTTAACTTTCTAATACAAACCAGGCTCATATGAGTGGGCATGTGTCCCAGGGTCTGACCCACTCTGGAATTCAGTGGGAATAAAAGCCTTTTATTCCAAACTTGAGATTTTTAATGTCTTTATTATGTTGCATTGTTACTTATGGCACATGATTAGGGCTTCTCATGTCTGTACTTTACATTTTTTACATTTTTAATAAACACTATTCTAGAATATTCCAAATAATAGCAATTGCCTAAATTTCATCATCATCCTACTCAACTATTTTAGCTTTTGTACATTACCTTTCATATGCAAATATGTTTTTACATGTATAAACCTGAGAATACCAATTAGTCGGGTTTTCCTAAACAGAAAGGTTAATTTTTTTTTTTTTTTTTTTTTAAGAAGTTCCAAGCTGGCTGGGTGCAGTGGCTCACACCTGTAATCCTAGCACTTTGGGAGGCCAAGGCAGGGGGACTGCTTGAAGCCAAGAGATTGAGACCAGCATGGGCAACATAGTGAGACCCTATCTCTACAAAAAAATTTTTTTTAAAAAATTAGCCAGACATAGTGGTATGCAACTGTAGTCCTAGGTACTTGGGAGGCTGAGGCAGGAGGGTTTCTTGAGTCTATGAGTTCGAGGCTGCAGTGAGCTATGATTGTGCTATGCACTCCAGCCTAGGTGACAGAGCGTAACGCTGTCTCAAATTAAAAAAAAAAAAAAAAGAGAGCGAGAGAATTCGATCAGCATATTCCTCTGTGCTGTGGTCAGCAAGACAATTGGGAGACTTGGACCCTTTCCTCAGGGACAGTCACCCTAATGAAAAAGTCTACTAACCAGTTAGTCATGGCAGAAGCAACAAAGGCTTCTGTTACTGGATTTAGCATTTACTGTTTCCTAGTTCTCTGTTTTGTTCTGTAGTGTCTAATTTGCTGTTAGTCCCATCCAGTGATTATGTATTTTGATCTTTAGAAATTCTATTTGATTCTTTTTTATATCTGTTGTTCTTTCCTATTTTCATGTTTTCCTTAAATACTTGGACATAGTAATAACTGTTTAAAGATTTTTGTTTGCCGGCCAGGCGTGGTGGCTCACGCCTGTAATCCCAGCACTTTGGAAGGCCGAGGCGGGCGGATCACGAGGTCAGGAGATCGAGACCATCCTGGCTAACATGGTGAAACCCCATCTCTACTAAAAATACAAAAATTAGCTGGGTGTGGTGGCACGTGCCTGTAGGCAAAAAAAAAAAAAAAGATTTTTGTTTGCTAATTCTATTATTTGTGTCATTTCTGGGTGTGTTTCTGCTGACTGATTTTTTCCTGATTATGGGTCACACTTTCCTGCTTCCTAGTACGTCTAGTAATTTTTATTTGGATACTGGACATTATAATCTTATATTGTTGAGTATTTGGATTTTGTTGTCTTCTTTTATTTTTTATTTTATTAATTTTATTTTTTAGACGGAGTCTCACTCTGTTGCCAGGTTGGAGTGCAGTGGCGCGATCTGGGCTCACTGCAACCTCCGTCTCCCAGGTTCAAGGGATTTTCCTGCCTCAGCCTCCGGAGTGGCTGAGATTACAGGCACGTGCCACCACACCCAGCTAATTTTTGTATTTTTAGTAGAGATGGGGTTTCACCATGTTGGCCAGGATGGTTTCAATCTCCTGACTTCGTGATTCACCTGCCTTGGGCTCCCAAAGTGCTGGGATTACAGGTGTGAGCCACTGCGCCCGGCCTCGTCTTTTTTTAAAGAGTGCTGGGCTTTGCTGTAGCAGGCAGTTAAGTCACTTGCCGTTTGGTTTGATTCTTTTGAGGCTTGTTTTCAAGCTTTGTTAGGGCATGTCTAAAGTAGTCTTTAGGGATAGTTTAACTCCATTACTAAGTAAGATGTGGCCCTTTTAGAGTCTCTACTGAATGCCTTGAGTGACCAATGAGGAGTCTTCACTTTAATTGGTGGGAACTAAAATGATTTTTAGCCCTTTGTGAGCCCATTCAGTTCCCAGTCACTCTACTGTCTGATCTTGTGGAGTTCTACCCTACACATGTGTGTCTTAATATTCAGCAAAGACTCGAAGAAAGTGCCATTTGAATTTCTTAATTTCATTTTTTTGTATAGTTCCTTCTTCCCCAGAACTCTGCCCTGCAGCTTCCAGCCCTCCAAGACTCTGTGAACTTGGATCTTCGGCTCCTCAAACTTATAGAGAATGCCATGCTCTGTGTAGGGTTGCTCATCCTACGCTGTGGTCTTGAATGCGCCGCCAGGCAAAAGCTGGGTGATTCCAGGGCTCTTTTCATTTGCTTTCCTTTTCTTTAAGATCACAATCCTGCGCTGCCTGTTGTCTCATTCTGAAAACTGTTATTTCATACATTTTGTCCAGTTTTCTACTTGTTTAAGTCAGGAGAGTAAATCTGATCCCTGCTACTTCATTATGGCTGGAATTATTATCTATGAATATAAATGTTATTATCCATCATCTATTAATAAAAATTGTAGTTTTTTCCCCAAGTTATTTGATGAATCAGTTTTGTACTATTCCATCACTCTCATCAAAGTTATTCATATCTTTAAATAGTGTAGTAATTGTGCTTGGAAATTTAAGAATGTTAAATCTGCAAATGCAACAATCCACCTTTAAAATAAGAACAAAACCTGATAACCAGAACCAGATAAAGTTGCCAAGTCTTCTCTAGTTAGCTAGTGACAGAGAGAGCCAGAATTAGAATAAAAATTAGGGAGGTAAGATTACTCATTGAAAAGGTCCCTATAATGTGCAGTACATTTACAGGGATTATTTAGTCAACTCAGCAGATATTCTTTGAGTTCCCTTTATGCACTTGATCTACAGGAGAAATGGGAAGGTGGTGAGGTAATGGAGGCAGGGATCACAAAGATGAATAAGATATGACATTTGTTTCAAGGCTCATTGTCTTTTGTGGGGAGAGACCACTAGATGAGTAATCATAAAACAATTGAAAGCAAATATGATACAATGTGTACCTAGAGGAAAGACATGTGGGGAAGTTGGGGACGTGTTGCAGAGGAGGTGGTATTTGATCTGGCTCCTAGATGAGGCATTGCAATTAATGTATCTTCCAAGGACAAAGTATTATGGGATGCATCTACATTAGGTAACTTAATATTTATTTTTACATTTCCACATGTGCTTGAAAAGAAAGTGTATTCCATTTAGTCAGGATGGAAAGTTAGATACATACTCAGAAGATTGACTTTATTGGTTATGTTGTTTAGCCCAAATATTTCCTTATCTTTGTTCACTTGGCCTAGTTTGGATTGAGAGTTAGTGTGAGAGTTAGGGTGTCTGAATATTAGCATTTCGACTATTTTTGTTGTTAATTGTGTCTTTTAGCATTATAAAAGTATCTTTATTTTTCTCATTTAATATTTTTTGTCCTAAAGTATACCTAGCCTGTTATTAAGATTCTAATTCTTACTTCATTTTATTTGCATCTGAGCTTTGCCCATTCTTTCTGCCCATTCTTTTGCTTTTGAAGCACTTTGCTTTTAGTGTAGAATTGCATTTTGCTCTGTGAGCCAGCTTGAAATATTTTCTTTAATTCAAGTGAATTAGGTCACTTGCATTTATTGATTAGACTGATATATTTGATTTCAGTTCTGTTACATTATTTGCTACATTTATTATGTGTACTGTATTATATTTACTGTGAATCTTTCAGTGTTTTCTTTGATTGCTTCAAAAAAGGTTGAAAAATGCTTTCTTTTGATATTTAGAAATGCTTGTGTTCTTATTCTAGTAGTTCTTTGTGCTAGTATCTTTATACATTGCTCTTAGTCCTGCTTTTCTTTACTTTTCTTTTTTTGAGATGGAGTCTCACTCTGTTACCCAGGCTGGAATGCAGTGGTGCGATCTCAGCTCACTGTAACTTCCACCTCCCGAGTTTAAGTGATTCTCCTGCCTCAACCTCTTGAGTAGCTGGGATTACAGGCATGCGCCACAACGCCCGGCTAATTTTTGTATTTTTAGTAGAGACAGGGTTTCACCATGTTGGTCAGGCTGGTCTCGAACTCCTGACTTTGTGATCCACCTGCCTCGGCCTCCTAAAGTGCTGGGATTACAGGTGTGAGCCACCACTCCTGGCAGTCCTGCTTTTCTTATTTGGGCTTCTACTACTTGGCTTGTTGGCTTTAAGTGATAACTTTGACTTTCACCAATTACCTATTTGGTAACCATCCTCTTCTTTCTTGCAGGGACTTCCCTACCCCCAGCAGTTTTACAAGGGCATTTTGCCAATTGTGGTATATTTCTCCCCTAAAGCACAAGAATTCTAACTTCCAAAAGATGAAAACATTCTACATCTCCCTGCTCCAACTCATCCCAGAGTCACACTTCCTACTACCTACTGGACCACACACAGCCCAGAAATGCCCTTTCAAGTCTCAGTGGCTCTGGGAAGACTCTGGGTGTCTGCATTAGTCCAGGTCCCAGCAGAAAACAGAAAGCACACTCAGCTGGGATTCTGAAGACAGCTTAAGGAAAGGGACTACTTATGGGTGTGTGGGCAGGGTTGGGGGAACCCACATGGGAGGGTGAAGCACCCAGAGGCTCATGACAGTGGGAAGCGTTACTACTCCTGGGTCTGAGCAGCAAGAAGAGGGATCACGGTTTGCAGAACAGTAAGCACTGGAACTCTGGGAGAAGGGCTGCCCAACAGGAGCTGTGGCACTGCCAGAATTGGGGTACCTTGGGAGATAGGACATCAGGGGAGGAGCTAGGTACGAAATGCCCTAATTTCTGTCCACCTTCTGATCTCCTATTGGTGCCATCAGCCAAACCCAGCTCAAAGGTGGAAGCACGGGTGGGGATGGTGGTTCATGCCTGTAATCCCAGCACTTTGGGAGGCTGAGGTGGTAGGATCACCTGGAGTCAGGAGTTCAAGACCAGCCTGACCAACATGGTAAAGCCCAGTCTCTACTAAAAATACAAAAATTAGCTGGGCATGATGGCATGTGCCTGTAGTCCCAGCTACTTGGGAGGCTGAAGCAGGAGAGTCATTGAACCCGGGAGGCAGAGGTTGCAGTGAGCAGAAATCACACCACTGCACTCCAGCCTGGGTGACAGAGCAAGACTCTGTCTCAAAAAACAAAACAAAAAGAAATGTGGACTGGATGTAGTGGCTCACACCTGTAATCCCAGCACTTTGGGAGGCCGAGGCAGGTGAATTACCTGAGGTCAGAAGTTCGAGACCAGCTTGACCAACAAGGTGAAACCCCGTCTCTACTAAAAATACAAAAATTAGCTGGGTGTGGAGGCGTGTGCCTGTAGTCCCAGCTACTCAGGAGGCTGAGGCAGCAGAATTGCTTGAATCTGGGAGGTGGAGGTTGCAGTGAGCCGAGATTGCGCCACTGCATTCCAACCTGGGCAATGGAGTGAGACTGAGTTTCAAAAAAAAAAAAAGTGGAAGCACGGAGGAGACCAGGTGATACTAGCTGTAAGGTCAGCCTCTTGGCAGAGAAGGGCTGAACAAGAGCTGGGTTTAAGGCAGGGGCAAATGGTGAACAACTAACATATTTTATTTTGAAGCTGGTCTCCTAAATTGGAGGTCTTTTTACTTTTGGAGCATATAATGCCTTATCCGCTGTTGGTGTTTGTAAATTTTGCATCAAACTGAAACTCAGGGTGTTGTCTTCTTACCACAGCTTGCCCTTCTGGGTGAAGGAGAAGGCCAACAGTTTGAAGAATGAGATACAAGAGGTTGAGGAGCTCAACAACTGGCAGCCAGCAGTGCCCTTAACTCTGCTCCTTCCTGGTAGGTTAAGGAACCTTCAAAGAATAGTGTAAAAACTGAAGGAGTCCACCGGGCATGGTGGCTCACTCCTGTAATCCCAGCACTTTGGGAGGCCGAGGCGGGCAGATCATAAGGTCGGGAGTTCAAGACAAGCCTGATCAACATAGTGAAACCCCGTCTCTACTGAAAATACAAAAATTAGCGAGGCGTGGTGGCACACGCCTGTAATCCCAGCTACTCGGGAGGCTGAGGCAGGAGAATCGCTTGAACCCAGGAGGTGGAGGTTGCAGCGAGCTGAGATTGTGCCACTGCACTCCAGCCTGGGCGACAGAGCGAGACTTTGCCTCAAAAATAAACAAACAAAAAACAAAACTGGAGGAGTCCAGAAGAACAGGCTTTTGAGAGGCTTCACAGTGGAAAGGAGGGCAGGCAAAGTATCTCCCGGAGTGGATGTGTCTTCTGTCCTGAGGTGGTCTCATGGGCAGATGTCATAGCCAAGCATTGAGGGTTGAGTGTATTGGTTGAGAATTGTTAGTTTTGTAATGGAAGAAAACCTTTAACTCCATGCCTCTATCCACAGGTGCTTTGGACTTTCCAAGACAATCCTGAGCATACACAGGCCCACAAAACATGTGCTGACTGCACTCTGGCAAGCCTTTTCCAGTTGATGGTTTTTCTCATGTGACTGTTCTAAATTCAATGTTTGACCCTTATGAGGAAGTGTTGTGCTTTGCTTTTTTAAAACTTTATATTTTGAAAACTTTCACATTTACAGAAAAATTGCAAGAATTGTACAACACACACCTGCATATCCTTCACATAGATTCTATCAATGTAAACATTTGTTCAAACTTTCTCTCTCTCACAATATTACAATTACCATTTTGCTGAACTCTTTGAGAGTGAGTGGCAGATATTGTAATGCTTTACACCTGTATACCAACATACCTCAGCATGTATCTCCTAAGGTCAAGGATGTTGTCTCACAAGCACAACACAAATATCAAACTCATGGAATTTAATACTGATAAAATATTATTAATATTTAGTCCACATTCAGTTTTAGTCAATTATATTTAGTTTTCTAAGGATGCCCTCAAATCAATCATAAAATACAGACATTATGTGAGTGTCTTAGCCTGTTCAGGCTGCTATAACAAAATACCATAAACAGAATGGCTTATAAACGATAGGAATTTATTTCTCACAGTTCTGGAGGTTGGGAAGTCCAGGCTCAGGGTGCCAGCAGGTTCAGTGTCTGCTGAGGGCCAGCCTTCTGGCTCATAGACAGTACCTTCTTGCTGTGTCCTCATATGATAGAAGGGGTGAGCTAGTCCTCTGGGGTCTCTTTTACAAGGGCACTAATCTCATTCATGAGGGCTCTGATCTCATGACCTAATCGCCTCCCAATGACCTTATCTCCTAATACCATCACCTCGGGGATTAGGTTTCAACATACGCATTTTGGGGTGGGGAGGATAAACATTTAGACCATAGCAGTGAACTTTCATTGCTTTTGGTAAAACCATTTTCATTTTATTAATACCTTTCGGAATGTTTCTCTAATGTTAACTTGGTACATGTCAGAAAAACATGAAGGCTGGATCTATACCAGGTAAGTAATACTGTTGCCCTGTAGCTGCATTCCTCACTCCAGTGTTGCCTATCTACAATAGCCAAGCAGGGTGAGAGCTCAGTGACCGCCAGTCATGAGTTTTAGGGCCTCCTGTCAATCAGACAAAAAGCAAACATTTGGAGGAAAAGGTGAAAACAAAAGCTGCCTCACAGGCTCTGACACAGTCAAACTAACGGCTCTTGGCATTTTTATAGCCAATCTCTTTCTCCACTAGGGAACCCCATTGACTGACTAATGAGGGCTGCAGATCTAGTCTCCCCAAAACCTTAAAGTGGAAAGAGATTGGGGCCCATGCTGAGACTTAACGTGTCTATGACATGAGCATGATTTATTTCCCATGTCTGTTGTTTCCAGTCACAGCCAAAGTGAATGAAGCAGGTTTAGAACACAATACATTTAGCCAGGTGTGGTGGCTCATGACTGGAATCCCAGCACTTTTGGAGACCGAGGCAGGCGAATCACTTGAGGTCAGGAGTTCCAGACCAGCTTGGTCAACACAGTGAAACCCTGTCTCTACTAAAATTACAAAAATTAGCCAGGCACGATGGTGGGCGCCTGTAATCCCAGGTACTCGGGAGGCTGAGCCAGGAGAATCGCTTGAACCCAGGAGGTGGAGGTTGCAGTGAGCCAAGACCATGCCATTGCACTCCAGCCTAGTCGACAAGAGCAAAACTCCATCTCAAAAACAAAGAAACAAACAAAAACCACAGTGCATTCATGGCACCTTCATATGTGCCTCTAGACTAACTGGCAGACAGCATGGTGCCTACCGCCAGCTGCTGTGCCTGACCACTCCTTGGGTTAACATCAGCATACATCTGTGCTAATCCTCTGGCCCCTGGGTCACAGGCCCACCCCTGCTCCTAATATAATAATTAAAAAGAAAACCAAATAATTTTTAAAAAGACAAAGGCTGCCAAGAGATTTTTCCAGAACACATTAACTTCTGAAAAAATAAAAATTTTTTGTGCCTCTATTACTTAAATATAAAAAAGTCTTCCTTCCCTCTAGTCAACAACAACGTCCCACCCCTAAAAAAAAAGTCAACTGCAACCACCATGTGGGTTAGTAATGGAGGACACAATATAGAACAAAAAAAGATTCTGCAGAGATTTCCTGATGGGATTATCTAGGTGGCACAGGAAACTGCTCTCAGAAGGTTCCCTGGTGTTTTGGAAGGAGGGTGTCCTACACCATAAATATATTAAGAAAAACAACTGGCTGGACAAGGTGGCTCATGCCTGTAATCCCAGCACTTTGGGAGGCTGAGGCAGGCAGATCACGAGGTCAGGAGATCGAGACCATCCTGGCTAACGCGGTGAAACCCCGTCTCTACTAAAAACACACAAAAAATTAGCCAGGCGTGGTGGTGGGTGCCTTTGGTCGCAGCTACTCGGGAGGCTGAGGCAGGAGCATGGTGTGAACCCAGGAGGAGGAGCTTGCAGTGAGCCGAGATTGTGCCACTGCACTCCAGCCTGGGTGACAGAGCCGAGACTCCGTCTCAAAAAAAAAAAAAAAAGAAAGAAGAAACACATAAGCCCGAAAATTATGATTTTCTAGAGGGGTTGGAGTCGTGTCGTAGGTTTCAAAGAGGTCTATATAATTCCTAGATGCTGCTCTAAGTAGATATGATTTGATTCCTTTTTCTTTTAATCCAGGCCGCAGAAACCATGAGTAAAAAAAAACAAAAACAAAAAAACCCCACACAACTGTTAGATGATTGAACTTCTGGAGTTGCAGGACTACATTTCATCCCCTGAAAATCAGGGAAGTTTTCACTGGATCTGGTGTTCTCTGTGGGTACATCTCGATGGCCAGGCCTTATTCCATGGCACCTCAACAGCTGGCAGGGAGAGTTCCACTGCCAACTTCGGACAGCATCAGTATGTCTGCGTGTGTTGGGGAGATAAAGGCATAGAAAAGGCCACTTGGGAAAAATATGTGCACATCACAGTTGTTCCAGCTTTTGCTTCTTTCCAGCTGTTCTAGCTTTTCTTTTGCTTCTTTCCAGCTGTTTCAGCTTTAGCTTCTTTCCGCTACAAAGAGGTTGGACCTGTTAGATGTAAAGATCTCCTTCAACTTACTGTAGGGTCTTTGGTAAATAAAAACACGTGTGTGTGCAGAGGTGCGTGTGTGTTCATTTCTTACTTTCAGTAACTGAAGTTCAATAGAAATAAACTATATGTGGCACTTTACAAGTAAATTTCTTGGTGTGCAATTTTACATTGCACAGAGGTATTCTAATTTTGGATCCTGGGATAAACGAAAAATGGCCTCTGTGGACATGAGGAAACATTGTATTATTCAACTAGTGGCACCAACGTTCAAATCAGTGATCTCTGAACTCCAAGTTACCAAAATGTTAAGATAGTAGGATATCAAACTTCTAAACTTCCACAAGGAATTTAGGAATATACTGTAGGAGTCCACTAATTGTCCACATTTCTAATACGAGACACTCAGTTTGGTTAGTTTTGTTTTGTTCTTAGGCATTTGGGTCTCAAAATCTAGGCAGGTAAGCACATTGTTTACAGGACTTGACTTGGTGAAGGATTTTAGAGTTGGAGCCCTTCAAGATCATGTCCCTGTCCTAAAGAGGCTTTTCTTCCCTGGCTGGGAAATCAGGAGAGAGTACTTGGGTATATAATTACCTCTACCCAGAACTGAGCCACATGCCTGATGCGGGATGGTACACCTTTTTACGGGGTCTATGGGCCAAGTTCCCGGCACACTCTGGGAGAGAATGTGGGAGCCCATTTGAGATGACCGGTGTCCTTCCCATGCTGGGGAGCCCCAAGAGGGACTGTGGCCTGATCCCACCCTCAGGAATGGGGAGGCCACTACTGGCTGACCTGGGACCCAACACTGAGCCTCCTAAATCCATGCTATAACGCTTACATGAAAAGTAAACATTTCGTGGTGTGCATGAAGGGCCCTAGCCTTGTATCACATAAGCAGCCAAAATATCCCAATGTCTTATTTTCTGAGGAAATGTGTCTGCCTCCCCCAAATGTGGTGTGGGGGCAGCAGACAGATCCAGCTTCCAGTGGTGAAGCAGTGAGCAAGTGTATGCTCATCTGGCTAGAAATCTGTTCTTTTGTCCGGGCACAGTTGGGGCTGGAGTAAAAGTTGGGTTTCTGTTAGACAGAATGGAGTAAGGAGCATAGTCATACTAAATATTCTTTGTTCTTTATTTAAAATTCATTTAACTGGGAGCTCTACTTTTTTTTTTTTTTGAGAAGGAGTCTCACCCTGTCACCCAGGCTGGAGTGCAGTGGTGCCATCTCAGCTCACTGCAAGCTCCGCCTCCTGGAGCCTGAGTTCACGCCATTCTCCTGCCTCAGCCTCCCGAGTAGCTGGGACTACAGGTGCCCGCCACCACGCCCGGCTAATTTTTTGTATTTTTTTTTCAGTAGAGACGGGGTTTCACCATGTTAGCCAGGATGGTCTCGATCTCCTGACCTTGTGATCCGCCTGCCTCAGCCTCCCAAAGTGCTGGGATTACAGGCGTGAGCCACTGCACCCGGTTGAGCTCTGCATTTTTATTTGTCAGAACTGGCAACTTACAGTGCATGTGGCAGAAAGGAGATAGATTTGAGGGCTAAGTAGGAGGTCAAGGTGGTGAGACTCTGGGATAACTTTGGAATGGGTGGGGTAAAAATATAGGAGAAGGAGAAATGGCAAGTGGATAGATGATGGTGTCGTTGCCAGGGCCATCTGGACCTCATGTATCATCTTTGTACAACTAGAGAATGATGCCCTCTTGGTGGACACAACCCTGTGGATGAACAGCTTGGTGACCTGTGTGCAAGCTGGATTTAAACCCCCATGTTCTTGTGCAGTGAACTTCTTACACGACTGTATGCAGCAGTCTTGTGCTATTCACTGAAATGAGGCATGCTGGGGATGTACAGATTTTTTGGGAGGAGGTCAATGTTCGGCAATTTGACATTGAGGAACCTGTGACACTGGCAGAACTGTCTAGGGTGTAGCTGGGCATATAAACCTGGGGTCTGGATATATGCATGTGAAAAATAAAGCTCCTGTGAGAAATGTGTATTCTAAGCCTGTGACATGTAGATGTAGGGGCTAGATGTAAATTACACAATTGGAATATCCATCCCAAACTGAGCAATGAGCTTAAAAAAGACCCTTAAACCTCAGGGCCTGAGCAAAAGCAAATTCTCCTTGGGATCACTTCACTTCAGGGCACAGGGGACTCCCTAGAGAACACCAACAAAGGTGAACCCCTGAGAAAGAACTATAAAACCACAATTGGATCCACCAAAGGAATTGTCAACGGATGAAACTCCATTAGCTTTTCCCAGTGCTGGTTGAGGAATTTCTAAATGGGAAGGAGGGGCTTATGGATGGCAATCTGGTGGATGGGGTGGGGCTAGAGGACCTGTCTTGAAATGGTATCATCATGCAATGCATAATGACATTTTGATAAACTCTAAACTGCATATATGATGGTGGTACCGTAAGATTATAATACCATATTTTTACTATATCTTTTCTTTATTTATTGTTTTGCCAATGTCTTTTTTAAACAATTATTAGAAGACATTTTACTGATAAACGTTTTTACTATACCTGTTCTATATTTAGATACACAAATGCCATTGTGTTACAACTGCCTGTGGTATTCAGTACAGTAACATGCTGTATGGGTTTGTAGCCTAGGAGCAAGGGGTTATATATACCATATGGCCTAAGTGTGTAATAGACTACTGCATCTAGGTTTGGCGTGAGTACATTCTATGATGTCCTCACAACAGTGAAATCGCCTAACGATGCATTTCTCAGAATGTATCCCTGTCATTAAGTGACACATGACTGCATTTGCAAAGCAGGATAATATTTTTATGTAAATTATTATGCATGTTTATTTGGGGAGATGGTGAAGATTGTGAGAGTCATTAACCCTGCCTCTAAACTATGCCTTGCTGTTGCCATAGGCTTTTGCCCCTAATTTTAGCCCTTTCCTGCATAGTTTCTTGGTGGTAAAAAAACTGGGTGAAAGGGAAACTAGAATTTTGATTGCTTTCTCTGCTGAGTAAATGTCAATCCATTCAGAACCAGCTCCCCAGAGAGGGGTGAGGGATAGGGAAATGGGGACAATGCAACCTAAAAATCCTCCTGCTAACATCTCTGGTTGCCCTTTGTAAGTCGAATGGACTTCTAACCTCTTTTTTCTGAGCCAGAGTTTCTCAAATTGTGTTTCATGAGTGTCAATAGATATATAAGAAAAAAGGTTTTTAGGGTCAAATTAGTTGGGAAACACTATATAGTAAGTCCTCACTTTTATCATTGATAAGTTTTTGGAAACTGCAACTTTAAGCAAAAGGATGTATAATGTAATCAATTTTACCATAGGCTAATTGATACAAACAAGAGTTAAGTTTCTATGGCATATTTCTGGTCACAAAACATCACCAAACTTCTAAATAAAGACAAAAACCCTTCTAATATTGAACAGTGAAGTAAGTGTAAGCTATGCATACATTTAAGAAAGATTAGGCTGGGGCACGGTGGCTCACACCTGTAATTCCAGCACCTTGGGAGGTCGAGGAGGGCAGATCACTTGAGCTCAGGAGTTTGAGACCAGCCTGGGCAACATGGTGAAACCCCATCTCTACAAAAAAAATACAAAATTTAGCCAGGCATGGTGGTGCACGCCTGTAGTCCCAGCTACTCGGGAGACTGAGGTTGGAAGATTGCTTGAGCCTGTGGGGTGGGGATAAAGGCTGCAGTGACCGAAGATCGTGGCACTGCACTCCAGCCTGGGGCACAGAGTAAGACCCTGTCTCAAAGAAAAGAAAGATTAATAAGAACAAGATAAGTATTCCCGCTTATTCCAGTTCAGGGTGATAAGGTGGCCAGAGACTATCCCAGCACAAAACAGCAATCAGCTCTGCACAGGACACAGGACACCATCCCATTGCAGGGCACACTCACACACACCCACATTCACTCAGACTGCAGGCTTGCAAATGAACCTCACCTGCACAGCTTTGGGATGTGGAAGGAAACTAGGGTATCTGGAAGAAACCCACACAGCCAGTGGCCCTGGCTTTAAAGTGGTTTTTTTTTTTTTTTTTTTTTTGAGATGAGGTCTCACCCCAGGTGGAGTGCAGTGGTGTGATCATGGCTCACTGCAGCCTCGACCACCCAGGCTCAAGTGATCCTCCCATCTCAGCCTCACAGGTAGCTGGGATCACAAATGTGCACCACCACACCCAGCTAATATTTAATATTTTTGTAGGGACGGAGTCTCACTATGTTGCTCAGGCTGGTCTCAAACTCCTGGGCTCAAGCAATCCTCCTGCCTTGGCCTCCCAGAGTGTTGGAATTACAGGCATGAGCCACTATGCCTGGCCTCATCAATGTTATCATGAAACGATCTTGCACAAAATGATGTTATTCAAGGATTTGCTGTATTAGCAAAGGAGTGCATTGGCTTCCTAGGGCTGCCACAACAAAGTACAATAAACTAAGTACAATTAAAACAAGATAAATGTATTCTCTTACAGTTCTGGAGGCTGGGAGTCCAAAATCAAAGTGTCAGCAGGGCTGGCTCCTTGGAGCTCAGAGGGAGAATGTGTTCCATGCCTTCTCCTGCCGGTGGCTGCCAGAATCCTTGGCATTCCTTGACTTGGACCTGCATCACTACAGTCTCTGCCTCTTTCTTCCCATGATATTCCCCCTGTGGGTCTGTATCTTTTTTCTTCTCCACTTATACGGACACTAGTCATTGGATTTGGGGACAACCTACTCCAGTATGATCTCATTTTAACTTGATTACATCTGCAAAGACTCTATTTCCAAATAAGGTCACATTTATAGGTATAGCAGGGGTTAGGACTTGAACATATCTATTTTGGGGGAATACAATTGAACTCTCAACAGGCAGAAACAGATTTTTTTCATCTGACAGCTTCTTACAGGTTTTAATTTCAGTGACTCTGCAAGAGGGGAGGACATACAAACCATTTTTTTTTTAAAAAGACATATTTTATGTAACTGGTGTTCTAAGGAACATGTTTGGGGAAAAATGCCTTGGGTGAGTGAGGAGACTAT